GTTCCCTGTCTGAAACCATCTGGGATAGACTTGAAGGGTTCGGTTCCCTGTCTGAAACCATCTGGGATAGACTTGAAGGGTTCAGTTCCTTGCCTAAAGCCTGCTGGGATCTTATGAGCATGTTTGGTTCCCTGTCTGAAACCATCTTGGATCAACATCTCTGGCTCAGTTCCCTGTCTGAAACCATCTGGGAGATGATTTTCAGTGGGTACCTCCACCCGCACCCAACCATCACCATTCTTCTGTGCTGGAACATCAACAGGGACTGGAAGACAGAGGGCCTCTAAATTAATTTTTAAGTACAGTTTATTGATATTGTTCATTTGTAAAAGCTGAAGATTTTGGAGAATAAATTACATTTATCTTCCTAGAAATAAAATCTTATAAATAAATGTAACTTCAAAGCTTCCTCACTCTCATCTGTCGGCCAGTGTCTTCTCTCCATCTCTCCAAACCCATTCCCAAGAAAGGGGCTGATGACAGCTAGAGGACAAAATGCAGAAATGACCTAATTGCACCCATTGTTTGTTTTTTTTAGATTTGGGGCTAATCAGTGTTTCCATAATTAAACTCACCGATGTTGTCTTGCACCAGGCCAGTGTTGAGGTCAACAAGGAGCCTTCCGGAGAGCTCTGTACCTTGTCTGAAGCTGTCTGGAATGGGTCGATGGATGTCAGCATGTTCGATGCCCTTTTGAAAGCCATCGGGGAGCTGGTAGGTTGAAGATGTCTTCTGCAGACCTCGAAGGACTGCAATTGGGATGGCTTGGAGGCCTGCGAAAGGTTAGGTTCATCGTTAAAAACCCATTCACACTGAGGATCATGCAAACAACTCGTCCTGCTAATTCACTGTTAGAGATGTTGACGTACAGGCAGAAAGGAAGACCTGTGATATTGGTTGAAGGAATCTAAGACCTCCTTGCAGATTTAACAAAAACCCTTTGAAGATGACAAATAACGGTCTAGCCTTACATATCAATTATTAACTTTTGTTCCAGATGAATTTATATAGCTTTTCTTTTACTATGTAATAAATCACTGATGGTCAAAGTTTAATTTCTGCACAGACACTGGAGGTCAGCTGTTATGATAAAACTATTGTTTGCCATAATGTTTCTGCTTTGGAAACAACCCATAAAGCCACAATTAATTATGATGTGGAAATATCAAACAATTACTTCTTTGTAGAAATGGGAAAAGATTATCTTGCTATTGTAATTTCCACAGGACAAATTGAAGAATCAAGATCTGTAATGAAAATATCAATGTGAAGAGTGTTCAGGATCAAACAAACAAGAGAATGACTTAATCTATATCAAAAAAAGAACATTTTTGGAAAGACTAAAACATTTTATTCCGATTGGTAATACATTAGGATTTTTCAAATTTAAGTCAGCAATTGTGTTAATAACTTGTTATAACCTACTTAATTCTTTCATGGGTTATCATTTTAGTAATTTGTTTCAGTTGGTAACAATTCTCATATTTCAGTGAGCAAATTAAAGCATCCAATAAATCCAGTAACAAAATAAGATAGGAACTATCAAGACGTTTTACCTCTACACTTAGTGTATCAAATGAACACTGAGAGACTTAGTCATCTTACCTGACACTGTCAGGAGTAGCAGCACGAACCTGAACATCCTGTCAACAGAAGACACAGAGCAACACTGGACAAATGCAACCTATCACATTAAGTTTGTAGTGTTCTCTTTCAGCTCCGTAGGTTAAGTGAATTGTGTGTTGCTTACCTGAGACAGGTGTGACACACTGAGCAAGTCAGACAGAAAAGGTTTCTCATTAATATGTCAACCCTTCACTTTGAATGTGATCATTCATTAATCTTTATCTCCCACAGATGATCACTCATATTTGATGCACTTATCAGTGTTGCCTGATAAAGTCTTGAACACAACGCTGATATAACAGCTAATAAAGAGCAGGCTGTCAGTAGTTGTCCTGTGACGTCAAGCTATGGTGTACACATCCTGTTTTCTGGGTCTTGCAAGTATATCGATGGTGAACGGCACTTGGTTTAATCGAAGGCAGCTCAATCAATACTTGTGAACAGGGGAGATTACAACATGTGTGTATATGTGACAGTGAATGATGGGTTTTGATGTTGTTGGGAATATATAAGCAGTGGCAGAATTCACTGATCAGTAATTTGAAAATAAAAATAACCCAGTCTCAGTGCTGATGGATGTATCAAAATGAAATCAGCTCCATAAAGGAAATATAGATAATATAGAATGTCAATAGCCTGTGTGAAATCCTCACTGTTGATAAAAGCTGTTTCTACCTTGATTAACTCATCATGTGTCGAGGGGCTGCCTGTTTTGAAACTTTATTTTAAAGTCTAAAGTCTTTATTTTCTTTGTGATAATCTTGGCAGGAGAGAAGAGAGTAAAGGTCCAAAAAATGTATGATCTGCCAAAAACGAAAAAACATCAGAAAAACTTCTCTGATAACAAAAAAAAATAAAAAAAACACAAACTCTTTGGCAAAGTTACGTAAACACGTGCCTCAGTTAGCGACAGCAGGAAGCTGGGGGGAACAACTTGAAAATAAAAGTCTAAATTAAAAAAAACTGCTGATTTGAATAGCGATAAATGTGTCCCTATATAGGAAATAGGATTAATATAAACTTACGATTAACACGGTTTAACTTCTGAGTGATTTACCTGCGTTAAATTGCAGTACTTTGTTGGGTAAAGCTTTTATTTTTTGAGCCCTGACAGAAAGTCGTGCTGTTACGCTAACGGTGAAAGCACTTCCTCTTGTTGTCAGGAAACTCCTCGGGGACGTTTGCCTTCAAATTTGATCTCATTAATTTTTAGCAGTGAAGCTGCAGCTTTAGTTTCACGACCGCAGCACAATGAGCGAATCGCCTGCGGGACAAACAACGAGCAGCTGCCGCCGGTGACACGTTACGTAATGTCGGTGACACAGTGACGTCCTGCAGCTAAAACATCTAGCCTAGCCAAAGCTAAGCTAACTCGGTCGTTGAAGCCAGCTCCGGGGAGTCTCTCCGCTGAAAAGCTCGAGAAAAGTGCCGCTTCCTCGCTGTCAACTGAACCCGCCCGCGTGTCGCGTTGCTCCATCCTCCCGTGTGTCCGAGAAATGGCTTTGGTGACAGGACTGAGGAGGCTGCTGGCTCCGGTCCGGTTACGGGATTACTCGCGGACGACGGCGGCGGTGGCTTCGGGCTCCTGGCTGACGGGGCTGAGGGGGTTCACCAGCGGCACGCGGCCGCTCAGGTTAGTCGCTTTCACCGCGGAGGAACTCAACCACCTCATTTTATTAGTATAGCCCATATTCATAAATCACAATTAGTCTCATAGGACTTTACAAGGTGTCACATCATCTGTTCTTAAGCCTCAACAAGAGCAAAACGACCAAAAATGTTTATTAACGGGAAAGAACGTAGAAAGTTTTGACCATTATGGAAAAGTGTGTGGAACTCCATTCAGAAAACAGGCAATTCTACCTGACCCTTGCTATGAGTACACATCAGGCTGAAGATCAAGTAGATCGGGTAAACCGATTCCACCAAACATTATCATTTTATTTGCTTAACTTTATATAAAGTACACAGAACAGATGTAATGGAAGCACCAGAATTTACTTTATTTAAATATCAACTGCTTGTACTTTCTGACAGTTGATTCTCTAATGCAAATACATTGTTTGGCCAGTGGTCATAAAGCAAGGCAGTTTTATTTATAAAGTACTTTTAATACACAGAGGTAGAGGTAGCTAAATTAAAAGGAGTAGAATAAAAGAGGCAAAGAGATCAAGAGGTAAAGGAAATGAAAATAGAATAAGATAAAAGAATATTGGTGAGATGACACACTTCAGTCAGGTCTGTCTTTGGGGCGGTGATCGGGACAGCTTGGTTTGTGTTTTTGCCACATTATCACAAACATCAGAATAAGTTGCTGCAGCTGTATCCGTCAGGCTGAAGTGATCCATCCATGTGTGCAGGTACAAGGCTTTGGACCAAGGCCGGGGTTTCCCAGGGCCAAACAGCCTGTCAAATTGAGCAATGCCTCTTGACTTGCTGCTCAGGTTGAAGGTTTGGTTTGGCATGCCGCCCCTAAACCGGCTGACACCGTCCCCATGTGCTCACGTCAGATGAGCGACACTGACCCTGACCCTTTAATAGCAATCATTTTCAGAAATCCACTTGGCGTCCGATGCAGTTTAAGGCAGTAATAGCCTTAGACATTGCATTTTTTTGGTGTTTTTCTTTTAAAGCAGATTATGTATGGTTTCCACTGATCTTTGAGTTTTCCAGAAGGTCACTGAGTTCACTGTTTATGGCCGGGGAATTTCAGGGGACACAACAGGAACAGTATGAACTGAAATTAATTTTGTAATTAGTTTATGGAAAGTCATGGAATTAAAGAAGTCAAGTGGCTTTAGATTATAATTTTATAAATTTTTTCAGTAATGACAAAAATCGGGCAGATTTTCAGTGTTTTGGGGTGTTTTATTTTATGAGAGCTGGATGACTTGAGATTTTATTCATAGTATTGTGCTGCATTCAATTCATTTACACTGCAGAAATTACCCACTGTCTAAAAATGCAGCTTTATACAAATCTGGTGGAATCTGTGAGTCACTATATTTATGTTAATAAATAATAAGATAAGTCTTCCCCCAGAAATTTTGAAGTGTAATGATCAGCTCTGACCACTAGAGGGCAGTGGATTGTTGCGAAACAGTGCTGTGTGAAAATTTACTACAAATATCTCATAACATATTATTGTTTTAAAATGTGAATCATATTTCTTTAAAAAAAAAAAAAGTAAATGAATAACCTGTTATGTTTTCTCTCATGCATGTTGCTCAGGTCAGACAACAAGGTGACAGTTCACTTCATCAACAGAGACGGGGAGAAGGTCACAGTGAAGGGTTCCCCTGGAGACTCACTGCTTGATGTCGTTATTAATGAAGACCTTGATTTTGATGGCTTTGGTATGTAGGCACACTCACATACATGTGTATATGCACATTTAAACATTGCATTTGTGAGGTCAAAGCTTCTCTTTCGCAGGACAAGATGTGTGTAGATGAGCTTGATCTCATCCATCATCTAGTGTTAAAAATGTGTATTTGTGTGCTGTAGGAGCGTGTGAGGGGACGCTGGCGTGCTCCACGTGCCATCTAATCTTTGACGAGGATGTTTACAAGAATCTGGGGCCGGTCACAGATGAGGAGCTAGACATGCTGGACTTAGCATATGGCCTGTCTGACACGTAAGGAAACACACACACATAGACACAGGCGCACACATACGAATTGGTGTTTTTACACAATTGGGATTTTTTATTGAGAGTCAATGCTTGTTCATCCCTTTAACTTAGGGCTTCATCAGTATTGTTTGCATACAACTGCAACAAAGTGTTTCCGGGGCCTGCACAATCTGAGGACTGGAGGAACAGCAGGATTTGTGGGATAAGGGCTCACCTAAGGTTTTAACTCAGATGTTTTCAGACCTGCTAAAAACTATAAACATGTTCTTTAAATTAAAAAACGTTGCTCAGCTGCATTTAATAACTGTATTTCAGTATTAAAAATACTATAAGCACTGACAGACAACTCAGAAAGCAGTTGTCACTAAACTTCTCCTCTGTTTGTGCTTTTAAAATATATCCTGAATGTGCTCACTTTATGATCGGATATCACTGCCCCGCTGCATATGCATATAATCAAGTATGTAATTTGTGTCAATGTTAGGTCACTGAGAAGCGTAGCACTTCATTTGATTTATTATTAAACTGAAGCGAGTCAAAGGTTGTCAGCTGAACAGGTGGTCCTTCTGTGACCACATCACTAAGGACGGGTGTTAATACATAAGAGTCAAAATGCTGCAGACAAAACCAATCTTATCATTTCCAAACTAGCATATTAATTTTAGACGAAACAGGAAAAGTGACTGGCATCTAGTTTCAACACTTGGATGTAGAGTAACTCCCCATTTCCTCATCAGATCTCGTCTGGGCTGTCAGATCTGCCTGACGAAGTCTCTGGAGGGAATGGTGGCCAGGGTTCCAGAGAGCGTAGCCGACATCCGACAAAGCAAAGATGGATCTGGTTAACCGTGGAGCCGCTGCTGTGGATCATGGGTGTAGACAGTGTGGTTGTGTCCGGTCACAACTGAGTGAACAACATGCACGCATAGATGATGGTACGTGAAAATCTGCCAGTACTGCTACTGCTGTACTTGGACGAATGCCATGGCACTGCATTCATTTTTAAACCTCCCAACTCACAGGAAATCTACAGACAACTTTTAATAACCAAGTATGAGTACAGGACTCAACAAAATTATTTTTATAGAACGTAAAAGTGCCCCCTTTCTGCACAGTGTCTGCTCGGACATAAACTGTTTATAAAGATGGATGATGCTTCTCCACTTCTTTCCACTATCCAGAAATGAAGCCAGAAAATCTTGAATACGAGCGCTGCCTTTTTTACATTTGGGGACAGAGTCTGTGCAGTAACGCTCAGAGGATGGATTTATCACTTTAGGGGAGCAGTCATGTTGTCCATCTTTATATACAGTCCGTGGTTAGAACATTGCTGCTGTATTGTGGTGAATAACAACAATATTTAAGGTTTAAGTTCTAAACTTAGATAAACCAATCATATCACCAAATTGTAAACTCTACCTATGAATCATCTTGTCGCTATGGATGTAGTGGAGGGCAGTGTTTGATGCTGGACTCTCGCTGTCGTCCACCGCTGTTCTTCTCTGTTATCTAGGAAAGTGTCTTTTTCTCATTAACGCCACTAAGTTTACACGTCCAGTCGCAGTTTCTTCTCTCGACGCAACATCCAAACGTTTGAAGTTCAGGTGTGAATCCAGTCGTATCCACTGAACAAGCTGAGTGGCACGTGTGCGTGTGAGCCAATAACAGTTCTCGATGCCTTACAGATTGTGCTGATACTGACACCCACTTGCCCCACCCCTCTCCACAAAAACATATTTTAT